ATTCTTTGAAGGAGAACTCCCTTTTGGTCCCTGGCACTGTCAGGCTATTCTTTGAAGGAGAACTCCCTTTTGGTCCCTGGCACCTAAGTATATAATAAATTCCTATTTGCTGCTTAAGCTGGCTCTAGTTTACTAAGCACTCTCATTTGCAAACGAAAAAACCCTAACTAATGTAATGAGAATATATGACACAGTGCTGCATGCCTATAATCCCAGTAACTGGATTCAGTAGACTGATGCAGGAGGATTGGGAGTTCCAGGCCAGCCTCAGCAACTTAGTGAAACCCTGTCTCAGAATAAAAAATAAAAAGATTTGGGCTTAGCTCAGTACTATATTGCTCATGATAGATTCTTATGTGCCTAGAAGGACACATGGCACATAATAAAAAGGGCTGTGAGTTCATGAAGAAGTGGACATTCTTGGGGGCTGCCGTGCCTCATCCAGTGCTGCCATGTCCCAGGAGAGCACTATGGTCTGTCATCAAAGGGGGCCCAACACTCAGCAGAGAGGACTGAGCTCAGGAGCCGCTTGTCTGGTTTGGGATCTGGCTTTCCAACTAAGCTCTGTGATGTTGGGCAGCTTACTTAATTCCTCTGTGCCTCATTTTCCTAGAATTTATGTTATCTACCTCATAAGGCTGCTGAGAGAAGTAAATAAGAAAACACCCCTAAAACACTTAGAAAAGGTCTTGAACTGGGTGCAGTGGTGCACAGTTAAGGTCCCAACCACTCTGGAAGCTGAGAGAGAAGGATCACATGAGCCCAGGAGTTTGAGGGAAATCTGGGCAATATTAGTGAGGTCTAGTGTCAAAAATAAAATAAAATAAATAGGGCTACACCACATGGTAAGCACAGCAGGAAAAAAAATAGTCAGAATCTTTTTCTTTCTTTCCTTTTTTGTACTGGATATTGAGCCCAGGGCACTCTATCACTGAGCTATAGCTCTAATCTTTTTATTTTTTATTCTGAGACAGGGTTTCACTAAGTTGCTGAGGCTGGCCTTGAACGCCTAATCCTCCTGCTCAGTCTCCCCAATCCAGGTACTGGGATTATAGGCATGCAGCACTGTGTCATATATTCTCATTACATTAGTTAGGGTTTTTTCGTTTGCAAATAAGAGTGCTTAGTAAACTAGAGCCAGCTTAAGCAGCAAATAGGAATTTATTATATACTTAGGGAGGTTCTACAGAATCCAAAGACAGAAAAGGAGCTAGAATCAGGAGTGGGAAAGCCATCAGGAGGCATTTGCTCCATCTTGCATCCTGGCTTTTCTCTGTGGCTTTGCTGGTGTCTTCTTGC